AGGAAATAAATCTTGCAAATATGATTAATTTGCATAATGTAATAATGTGTGCAACGGGGGAAGATTCTTCCCCGATGTGAAAGTAGCATTCATGGTAGCGGCGGTGGCAGCAGCCGGATCATGCAACTTTGCATTTGCCCATCTCACACATATTGCTTGCAGGGAATGTGGCTGGTATCGCTCGAGATATGCGTGAGAAAATTAACAAGTACCTTGTGAACTTATCGGAGTTGAAAAGGATTGCGATTGCCGCCGAATGCACGTGGAATATCAATCAGAGTTTGCTGGCTCGATGAATCTCCGTGGGACCTTGGTCCAGCTGCCGGTCAGCTGCCTTTCGGGATGGTCTGTGACATTTTTGCCTAATCCTAATCCTGTTTATCGATTATCTCCAAAAGGTAATCGGAAGAAAAGAAACTACCGCAGGTACAAAAGCACATCTGCTGGGCGCACAATTCAAAAGATTTTGACGCAATCTCAAAGAAATCCAAAGAAGCATATTTCAATTATCGCCTGTTCCGATCATCCAAACCACTTGGGATTTGGTTGCTTCCACACAGCAGTATCCAATTCTACGCTGACCGACCGACAAGCACCGTCTCTCAGAAGACGTAAGGAAAAACAAGCAGATTGAACACAGATTAACTTATCGAGCTTAGCGTTCGGATCTCTCGAAGAAGTTGAAAGAAAAATAAACACCAGCATTACGATGACAAAACGGATTTAAAATACCTTTCCGTTTGGTTTTGTCAGACGATGGATACGGAGAGGACGGCCAGCTGGTGATGAATAATGACACAACCATTCTGGATACAAAGGAAGCTCTGCATAAACAGCATCAGCTTCCCAGTTGGCGCTAGTTCATTCTCCACCAGGGCTGACTGAGCGAGGAGAAGAAGCTGTTTGTAAGCTTGTTCTGTGCTACTGTAGTGTAAAATCCTCTCAGTTGGTCACAGTGGTAATCTGTTTTGTTATTAAAAGTTAATCACATTAGACTGACTGTGACTACACCGGGAATCGAAGTCTAAGTCTTCAAACGGGTTACCCGGCAGTTTGTCGTATCTAGCTTTTATTGGTGCTATAAATCACACCCCTGCTGCTGATGCTGCGGTAGGGCTGAGATTGTTGATAGGACTGCTGCAGCGATGGATGCTGGGGAGATGTCACCACTATCACCGGGATGGGCGATCAGTGTATATCGCAGAGAGGTGACTAATGAGTAGCTTGAAAGTTGCGATTCACTAATCTACTTTACAAATTGGATTCGATTGCGAGTACAAAGCATACTATTGCTGCATTCGATTTTAAAACATTGAAACCTACAATCCCACCTTCATCACAAAAGCTTGCGGTACTCAATCACGTTAATGCTAGCGATATAGCACAACTACCAAAACATAACCTCACGGTTGCCAATCCCGGATAGGCAAACAAATAGCGTACATACACCAATTCGACTCTGCCGATGCCCTTTCGCTTAAAATTGACGCGATTTCGCGAGCTTCCATCAGCAACAATGGCAAATCAAACAACGCATCATAATGATAAAATACTGTGCAATTGTGTTCGCATATCGCCATTCGTGCTTCTCGCACACAAATACAACCGGAAGGAAAATAATGATAACAATATCGTCGAAATTAAATAAAAATATCAAACATCCCCGGAAAACTCCACCGCTTGTCGCCCGTCGTGGAACACGTGTCCTGTGGACCACGATGCGATAGCGTATACACCCGGAAATTGCGGAACCGAGAAGGCAGACACCCCTCATTTCCGCGTGAACCCTTTTATTCCCGGCATTTCACTTAAAAAATAGAAGGGTTAAATTTCAGCACCCACTCAAGCTGAATGTTATTGTTTTGTTTATCTTCTTAATTTGATTTGCTCCTGTTGTGGGGAAAAACGCAGTAAAATATAATATTTTCCCGAAATCACCCACCGTCCCACGCCGTCAACTGTTCCGTCAGGATTAACTGCCAAAATCCAAATACAAGGATGTGTCACTATGGCTGTGGTGGAGGGATAATGCGATTTACTATGCGTGCCGGGGTGGTGGATGCTTCTGGAAAGTAAATGCGTTTTTAAAAAGATGAAATATTTGGTTTCTCCAAGTTTGCTCAAGGATGTTTGCGGAAGCGGAGTTGTTGAGTTTATTTAGCATTTCCACGCCAACTGACGAATCGATCAGACACGACCTTTTCCGATTTCCATGAAACTTTGGGCTATTTTGACTCTCGCTAAAATGGCGTATTTGATGGTTATTTCAATACATCAGTGACGTTCTATGAGAAATGACGTCTAATTGCTCATAGCTATCAATTATGCAAGAATTTATAGAAATCTGAGCAACGTAAAGCTTCAAAATCCCAACACTTAGTCCAAAAATGCAGTCACGTTGAAAAGTTCATTATCAATGTATACCATGCTCAAATAGCACGTAAATTTTAACATGACCTTGTGCTATCGCTCAAAATTAGCACACATGTTTATCGTATGTTTGACGAAATAATTAATTGAAAATGAAATGTCCAGATTAACGAACCGTCCGGTATTCGAAGCACCGTAATGGTCAAGTCTGAAATTCGTTTTTATTATAGCTATTAGCAAAATATATAATGAACAACTGTTCAAATATTTGTTTAAAACTGAAATTATTAACATTAGAACGCCTAATGGTTTCTGGAGATATGGTTTAGCAGTTAGCGGTTTGAGTGCCCACCTCCGGTTTTTTTAGGTTATAGACATGGAAGGTTGTACGAATTCTAACTAACGAAACATTAAAATTTCAGACGTGGACAATAAGGTGGCTTTTGCATACAATATTTGCTACTTTGCATGAAACGTGTCAGAACTTTACATGATATATAATGTAAACGAATATGATATGTGACGCTCCATATATGTGCATCATATTGAACAGAAATTTAGACTACTTTTTCGAACTGTGTATAGCAATAAATCAATAAACATCTGTTCAACCACCAGCCACGATTTAAAAAAAAAATATCTATTCACCATGTTTCAAAAAATTGTCCTCTAGGGTGTACGATCAATTTTGCGATACACTGTATGAGCTTGTAGGTACGTGTGGAAGACTTGGTCTAAAGTGAAAGATTAGTAACTTTTTGTACAAAGATCAAATCGATTTGCAGACTTCGACAAAGTTGTTTTGTATAGTATTCTCAATCTTAGTCCGAGATTTGGTGAAATTTGAGCAATATTTGAATTTTTGGTAAGCAAATGAATAAGATCGTTCCGTTTCCCATATATTTTCCCATGCAACAATTAAAATTCTCCCACAAATCGAGATTAAAACCAAGTTCGTTCAAATTTTGCACAATTTTTGGGGACCTCAATACGCATTGCAAGAGCAGTGGGGGACAGGGGGTTGTAAAGCTGATTCACCCTGTTGCGCATATTAAATTGTATCGCTCTTTATTCAGAAATGAAATATCAATTGAACTAACTCCTCTGTAAAGTATTATGATATTCCTCTTCAGAACATTGAAATAAAGGCATGCAAAGGAACCAATTCATATAAAAAAGCCTTTATGGCACCAAAACATTCTGTCAATTGCCAAACAAGGGTTTAAAATGTTTAAGGGCCAATTTCTTCACCTCCGCCTAAAACATAAATTACCCATATAGTTAAACCATATAATTATAGTAATGCTATCGACTAGGTTAAACCTTATACACACTTAGTTTTTTCTACCGAGCTCGGCTGTGCAAATCTCGGTAAAAAAGTTTCACTGAGATCTCAGCAAAAGTGACATTTGATTGCTGAGTTTCGGATAATGCTTAGCTGAATCTCAGCAAACAAATGAAATGTTTGCTGAGATCTCAGCAAAACTTTTTTTGCCGAGATTTGCACAGCCGAGCTTGGTAGAAAAAACTAAGTGTGTAGGTTTACATAAACCTGGCTGAAGGCTTATGTGCAGGAGAAGAAAGCAGCCCAAAGACTTAAAAAGTCCAAAAAGCCTAGTAAAGTTTAATTTAAACTGATTGCACATATCAATGGTTGCTACTCCGTGATTGAATACAATCAGTGAAATTCCACAATGAATCAACTGAATGCGACTGTCCATTCTCATTGTACAAATTTCAGTGACTCTATATCCATAAAATCAATAACGGAACCAACTACGTTCTAACAGTAAGGTGGGATCAGGGAAGGAATGTGAAGAAGTCTGAGATTAAACTCACGATATTCTAATCAGTACACAAAAACGGTCACAACTAGGTCACCGAGCACCGTTCACTATAGCAAAACCACTGCGACTAACGATTGTTTAGGCCTGACGAAATGAAGCTGGGCAGTATCAATGCAACTAACATTTTCACCACTCTACTCGGCCAAGTGCTTTTAAAACCTCCTCATGCTGTTCATTTCGATTGGTATAATTTGTGTTGATTGTTTTTGTAGTCATCCAGCGACACACAAATTATTCTTCTGCTTCTGCTTCTTCTAATTCTTATTTTAGGATTTTACGCTTCTGTAGCAAGCGTTTTGCCGGCTTACAGCTTAGTGTTCTGGAAGAAGAGATAAACTAGCCATATGGCTAAAAATCACTATAATAAAAACAAAAAAAAAGTGTTCTGGAAGCACATCCACAGTTATTAGTTGAGAGCTTTCTATGCCAACCAATGCATGAATTTGTATATTGTGTGGCAAGCACAACGATACTATGCCCGGAGAAGTCAAGTAAACTTCCAACCCGAAAGATTTCATCGACCGGATCGGGAATCGAAACCGCTGACTTCGGCTTGGTAAAACCAATTCTATACTGACTAGGCAATCTGAGGCTACCCGGCGACACACATAGTCAGCTGCTATAGAGTGTTTAACATTCGTGTCCACAATGGATCGAGAGATGGCGATATTGTTTTGTGAGCGATTTTTGTACAATCAAAAATATTCACTGTGGCATATCTGTTAATCTATCGCTGAACCAATAATATAAGCCACCGCTTTGCGCAAAGAACTCCATTTCTAAATGAAGAAGAGTTGTGGTTTCTCCAGTGTACTCAGTAGCAGTGCTGTAGGTACGTATTAATATGTTTAATTGTTTTCCGTGCTGAGCACCAATGCTACCGATGCCAGGGAGGCAGTTACCACACCTGGACCCTACCTATCGACCCATCAACTCATAAATCTGGGACCAACGGCTTTACTTCCCTTCCGTGAATCAGAGGCGGATCAGAGATGTCATGCCTCAGGACATCCCGGCGGCACCGACTGGGATTGAACCCAGGCCTGCTGGGGTGAGAGGTAATCACGCTTACCACTACACCACCGGCGTCACTGATTTAATGGTTGTATTGGTTCATCTTCAATCGAATGATATGAAAATTAGCAGCACTGCTCAGTAGAGCAACCTTTTCATATTATTTTTTCATATGGTCAGGATTCCTTACCATGAGCATGAGCATGATTGACCGCCCGCGGATGCTTCCGTTATTGCCGGGCGGCCGCCTCCGAATGCAGGTCAATAAAGGAATTCGTAGGAATGTGTTGACGTGACACTGACTTTGATGGAAGCCGAGAAATCCTCTATCCTTCCACGAAGAATCACACACACTACCAAAAAGTCATGTAAATGTCCGTGCCCTGAGACCGACACATGCAAGCGGCTTAAATGACTTAAGAATCAGTTAAAAGAAACGAGAAAATAAATTTCAATCAACCGTACTTTTCGTCGAGTTGCGTGTATTTCGGTTTGGGAAAACTTAATTTTACATTACATGTTTGTTTACGTTCCATAATTTACGTCAAAGATGTGTGCAGGGTTGGGTTTTCAGCAAACGATAAACTGAATTGATTTCATAACGATCCTATTACGCAAAGGAGTCACGGTCTTCTGCTCAGTAAGCAAAAACGTTTGCCACTAGGTAAATGACCTCTTTATATTACAACACACCACTTGTGATCGGGTTGTTGTTATTACCACGTATTCATATTAACAAATAAAGTGGTTAATAAATCTTGAATTTGGGCTTGAGATTAACCTCATGAGCTTCTGCTCAGTAAGCAAAATCGGTCGCTCTAAGGCCACCGAGCCCATCATATCACATCATACCTTTAACTAATCATGTTTGTATTACTTCCCCTACCCGTGTCTCCTTGAGATCGTTAAGTTGACGATGACAGGAGCACATACAGCGGTACAGGCAACAATAGCTGCAATTTCCGAACCTCTCGACTAGAGCTTACGCCAGATGGCGACTTGAGTGTGAAACAATCGATAGATACCCCTCATCATCCCTTCCCCACTCCCCTACGGGAGAGTTTGGTACAGGAGATGATCAACCTGATTCGTACCTTCCTCAAAATTGACCTTTGCTCGCTATCTACTCTCTCCATACAATTTTCACACTGCCGTACTCTTACGGAACTATCAACTTAATACTTTCATCTCCTCATCTATCGTATAAAATTACCACTTTAATTCCAATATTTGACGTTAAGCATCATACCATCTATGATTGAACTACGATAAGCAAGCGATGTGACTATAAATCTCCTTAATGTTAAAGGATCGGAGATTGATCCCACATTTTCTACTTGTAAACAAAAACGGTTGTCTAAGGCAGCCGAGTCCCACAACACAACACAACACTTATGAACAAGATGATACTATAACCATTCAAACCCGATACTGGTTCCCCTTATACCAGAATAAACCACTGTGACCGACGATCTTCCAAGCCCGGGGGCAAAATGCTACAAAAAAGCTGTTGGGCCTTCAATAAATTCTACTTTTGTTGTTTCGATTTGGTTCTTACGTAAGACGGGAACTTAACCTATAAAACCTCCACGTTTTTCAGACTGGCATCTCCCTTACATCACAGCAATCATATTACTCTTCCCGAATCGCTCCGCCCGAGTTGCGTCAGTTATGATTTTCTACAATAGTGGCCTGAGATAGATCCCAATGTATTTTCCCAGCAAGATTCAACTATGTTCCTGCACCCGGGTCCAGCATCCGTCACTCTTTACCGCCAGTATCGCTCTTCCCATTTCACAGCACTTTGACCGAGATTAAAAACAACCTTGTACATTGATTTTGTGGGGTCCACGGGGAGAACTACTAATTTTGGGTAGGATGGAGTAAAGTACGTAAGACTTGTTATCTGAGTTATCAAATTCAACTGGATATCCTTTATATAATTCATCGTAGTGGGTAACAATTAGCGGGTACAACAGTCGCAATGATCATTGCAGGTCTTCTTCTCCTTCACATTTCAAGCTTATTGCTTATCGTATATTAGCTTATTGAGTCCTCTCAACTTAGTGTTCTAGATGCATTTCCATAGTTATTAGTATAATTTTGTGGCAAGTACAACCATACTCTATGCCCAGGGAAGTCGAGAAATTTTTCAACCCGAAAAATTCGTAGACCGGACCGGAAATCGAACCCAGCCGCCTCCAGCATGGTCTTGTTTTGTAGCTGCACCATTACCGACTGAGCTAAGGGAGGCCATAATACAGGTGGCCTCCTCAAATTCCTTCAAAACTCAATTTAAAACTTCGCTGAATACGGGAACTTTCCTTATGGCCAGGACCATTAGATATAAAAAAGAACAATATGTGTGCTTACTAGAGCCACCTAGTGGGATAATTTTGCACTATTCTATAGATCCAGTCGAGTATTCTTATTCCCGGATGGTTATTTTTTTGACCGGATTCCTTTATTCGGGTTCCTAAATTCTTGAACTTCGGCAGGTGGAATGCTGCTCGGTTTTGCTATCCGTTTCAGCGGACTAATGGCGTCAAAGTAACCGAAAAATAATTCGGCCGAAAAAAACATCAGGGAATAAAGATTCCTCTCTTTAATCACCGGAAAAAAGTTTTCAAAAACGAGAATTTTTATATGATCACTTATTCTACCTTGTGGGATATGTCATTCAATTTTGTTTGTTTGTATGGCGTATCCGGTTCGTTCATAAACAGGAATAAGGGGTGATGGTAAGGATTTTTGTACTAATCCATCTCGGCTGACTGTCTCATTAATATAGCTAACCTAACCTGGAAAGTCTAAAACAACTTAAATATTTTGCAGGAGACGGTATAGTTCTTCATGGTCAAGATCACGAGATCTCATGTAAAACCGTATTAATTTGCACAGTCATGTGAGACAAAACTGAACTAGAATAAGTTCTCACTGAACATCTTTGCCGAATACAGAAACTTTATGTTTGGTTAGGATCAAAACTATCAGAATCTTGAAAAATTATCGATGCACTAGCGCCATCAAGTAGTGATCCCTGCAGTGAATTCATCTCATATTGCTTGGATACCAAAATATTAACAGTAGAACAACAAAGTAATTTCAACAGAAAATAAGCTTTTCCTGTCAGTATCATTTACACACTTAGAAAAAAAAAATCATGCAAATTTAGATACTCTGAGAGTGACATATACGAGCGCCAATTTTGACATAAATTTGAGTCATAACAGACGCGAAATATAGCAACGAACTTTTCAGTCTCGGAGCACTTAATATTTCATGACCTGTTTGTTTACGTCTCATCTTTTATGTCAAAGACGGGTTCCGTCACGTGTAAAATTATTTATTTCTAAGTGTGTAGGCAACAACATCACTGAAACGAGTCTTGTCAAGAATCGTCTTCGATATTTTTTTAAGAACAGTTGGACTGTATCCCTTAATAGGTTCACTGAAGAAGTAGGCACCAAATGACAAATCTGAAGAAAAATACATGTTTACTAATATCTATTGAAAGACGACCTCTCAAAACTTTCTAGGAAATGCCCCATCGGCATACTCATAAAAACTACTGAAGTAATCAGCTGAGCCTAACATATCTAAAAGAATAATAAAATTAGGCTTCCGTTAGCACGGTTCTCACGCACTTATCCCGATGATCCCGACGTCCCGTGCTGAGAAACAGAAAAACTTTCAGGTTGTGACCCCCGGGTTGTTTAAAAGCCCAAGAAGTTTGCCAATCATAAAATTAAATCGATTTATGATTTAGCGTGCGGCGGTGAAATTTATGACTTTTACACCTTCGCCTGTCGCGAAGTGCGCGGTGTGCGAGTGTGTCTTCGCTGTCGTTTGATTGTTAACCTGTAGGAAAGGATTCATTCCCCGGCCATCTCGTCGCTCTGTGCCTGTTTCCTGTTAGGTAAAGATGAGTGTGACCTCAGCGCACTCGGCGTAGTCACACGCCCGATGAACGAGTCTCACATGGAGCGCGAGAGGGCGCGCGCTCGGAACATGATTGATCCTCGACCGGCCTGTGTAGACACATGTGACCCTGAAATTTACACGCTTTCCTGCGGTTATGGGGATGGATCTTCTCCAGCTAATGTGTTAATCACATTAGAGATTGGATCTGTTGTTGGTTGGTCGTGTCGGTTTTCGAATAGATTTCTTGGCGGAGCGCAATTTTCGCAACTCATCGGCTTCCTTCGGAGTCCCGGGTTTGAGAGGCTTGGCGAGGGGTGGTCTACAGACACCACCTTTTTGGGGTCCATTGTGTACATGTCAAAATATTTTTTCAATTTGTGGATTGCCTTCGGAGGGAACAGTGAGACAGAGAGAGTGAGGCGGCTCGCGGTTTTGCGATATGAGCTCATGGTTTGTGTAGATAATAGGGTTCCATATAACATTAGCCATATAATCAGGCGAAGAGTTTGAGAGTGGGCAAGATAAACAACCCTAGGCTGAAACGCTTTGAGAAGAAACCCAAGTGTGAAGCCGTTTTGTGGCTTGAGGTTATCTCACGCTGCTAATCAGCCGAAGAGTCTCAGCGGGCACGTGAAGACTCTGGATGGTGGTGTGGATGATGCTGATGGTGATGATGATGGCATAAGTTTTGCTTTCAACTTTGTATTGAATCCAGTTGGAGCCACAAGCCGAGGCAGTGAGGTTAGGATGAATTAGGGTTATCTCCGGGTTAGCATCGGCGTTCTCCCGCTCAATCCAGGAGGTGTGAAACGAGCTCAGCTCGTAAATATTGAATAAATCATTAATAATTAACTAATCGCGCAATATTTACACTTCATTCTGGGGGTTGATTAA